ACTTGTGCAAGATGCCAAAACAGACAAGATTTGCATCACTATCTTAAACATGTGCTTGTGATATGTACAGAAATTATGCATATATGATACAGATATATACAAAAGCTACATGGTTATGTAAGTAATTCTAATGCTTACTTGAGTGACTTCTTGGTCAGATGGTATCATTTCCCATATAAAAAATAAAGTGTAAACAAAAGAAATCAGTGAAACAAAAAAAATGTTGGAAGCATGCTTGCCTTAACAAATTCCCAGTGAACATTCTCTTCATTTGCCTCTTTGTTGTTACAATAAAACACTGACCACAAACAACTTGTGAGAAAGAAGGGTTTATTTGGGTTACAGGTTACAATCCATCATTGATAAAGCCTGAGCTGGACATGGCTTCTAATCCCAGCACTCAGGAGGCAGAGGTAGGTGGATCTCTGTGAGTTCAAGGCCAGCCTGGTCTTCAAAGAGAGTTCCAGGACAGCCTCCGAATCCACAGAGAAACCCTGTCTCAAAAAAACAAAACAAAAATAAACAAACAAACAAAGCCTGAGCTGTAGCTCCATGAAGAAACCTGAAGGCAAGATCTGAAGCAGAGACCTCAGAGGAACACTGCTTACAGGCTTGCTTCCTTCCTCTGGCTTGCTCAACTACTTTTCTTATACAACTTGGGCCTACCTGCCCAGGAATGGCACAACCCACAGTGGACTGGGCCACCCAACATAATCAGCAACTAAGCAAATGCCCCACAGAGAGGCTCATCAAACCCTCTTATAGAAGCAATTCCTAAATTGAGATTCCCTCTTCTCAGGTTTGTGCAGAGTAGACAAAAACTCAACTGGCACATAGATCAACCATTTGTTAAATATTAATACAAGAACCTAAGTCTTTTGTTTGTTTCTTTTTTTCTGGACAGGGTTTTTCTGTGGCTTTGGAGGCTGTCCTGGAACTAGCTCTTGTAGTAACCTGTAGCCTGTCTCTGCCTCCCAAGTGCTGGGATTAAGGGTGTGCACCCCCCCCAGCTGAACTTAAGTCTTATATGTATTCATTATAGACTTATATGATGCTTATGCTTAAATATGCTTAAAAAGTGGATTTACATGCTTTTAATCAAAGACAGTATGATCTCTATGAGTTCAAGACCAGCCTCATCTACAAAGCAAGTTTCAGGACAGTCAGGACATAAAGAAACCCTGTCTTGAAAAATCAGAAAAATAAAAAGAAAGAAAAAGAAAAAAGTTTATATTTTTACAAGGGCTGGAAAGATGACCCAGTGGTTAAGACCACTGACTGCTGTTCCACAGGACCTGAGTTTAATCCTCAACACCACACAGCTGTTTATAACTAACTCCAGTTCCAGGGGATCTGGCACCACCACACAGACATACATGAAAGGAAAACATTAATGCACATAAAAATATTTTAAGAATGTAAAAAACAGCCGGGCGTTGGTGGCGCACGCCTTTAATCCCAGCACTCGGGAGGCAGAACCAGGCGGATCTCTGTGGGTTTGAGGCCAGCCTGGTCTCCAGAGCGAGTGCCAGGATAGGCTCCAAAGCTACACAGAGAAACCCTGTCTCAAAAAACAAACAAACAAAAAAGAATGTAAAAAACAACAAAAAAGAAAAGTTGGGCTTATAGACTTTAAAGTATTTGTGCTAAAGGGTGGGGAAGAAGTGTGCAAAGTGTGAAGGTGAAGAGAGACGGAGATTTTATTAGACAATTTATGCTGAAGCTGGTTCAGCTTGCTCACAAGAATCAATAGTTGGACTGGAGAGATGGCTCAGAAGCTAAGAACACTGGCTGCTCTTCCAGAGGACCCAGATTGCAATTTCCACAACCTAGATGCATAAGCAACAGGTACCCTCCTCTGGCACTGTATTACTTACCTTTATCATTGCTGTCTGCAATAACTGACAAAACTCAAATTTCAAGGCCAGGCAGTGGTGGCGCATGCCTTTGATACCAGCACTCGGAAGCAGAGGCAGGCAGATTTCTGTGAACTCAAGGCCAGCCTCGTCTACAGAGTGAGTTCCAGGACAGGCTCCAAAGCTACACAGAGAAACCCTGTCACAGTTAAAAAAAAAATGAAAAATCAGTTACAGAAGAGAGTGTTCATATTTGGCTCACAGTTGGAGGGCACAGCCATGGCAGAAAAGTCATAGTGGCAGGTGATGGAGGCAACTATGATATCCTTCCACATGATATCCACAGTCAGGAACCAGAAAGAAACTAATCACTTCAGTCTGGAAGTTAGGATGGGTCTTCTCATCACTATGAGCTGAACTAGAATCATCCCTCACATATATGCCCAGAAATTTGTCTCCAAGATAACTGTCAAGTTGGCAGCCAGTATAAACCACCACAAGGGGTTGATGAGATCTCTGATTTATAAAAATGCTTTTATTTCAAAAGAGAAAAAGAGTGGAGGCTGGAAAGGCATTGAGGAGATGGTGGCATACTTATTTCAGGTGATAGATAAGGAAGTGCCAGTAAAGATGAAGCAAGATCAATTATAGATTTCAGAGATTTAGTCAAAGATGAGTTGACAGTAATTGAGGTTTCAATGGTGAAGCACTGGGTGGAGTTTGAAGGAACACCAAGAACTGAGAGGATAATATTGAGGGTTATTTTCTGTCTTTAAGGTTGTCTCGGGATTTTGAGGTGGAAGCATTTAAGACAGAGAATTCTGGTTTTGGAAGCATCTGTTTTCGATGATAACTAAAGCCAAGAACAAGAAGGACCTTGATCAAGAAGCATGTAAATGGTGAGGAAAGCCAGAACAAAGTTTAAATGAGAAAGGGCTGAAGCACAGTAGAAATAGGATTGGAAGAGCATAGTGAAGGATAAAAAACATAGAAATGATGACTGCTGTATGATATAAGATTTAAAAGATATGTTACTTGATTGGAGTAAATGAGTTTATTCCTTTTTTGTTTGGTGGGAGTTTTTATTTTGTTGATTTTGAGACCAGAACTCTACTCATAGTGCCATTCTTGAACTTGCTATGTAGCTCAGGTTGGGCTTGGAAGAGGTGATCGTCCTCCCTCAGCCTGAGATCTTATCACTTTATCACTTCAGTGTTGAGTTGGATAAAATAGAATGATGATGTTGGACAAAATTAACTTTAGACTTTCAGTGAAAATTTCCTTTTTTATGACCCTGAGCTTCATTCCCACACCCTAAGTAACTCTCTCTCTCTTTCTCTCTCTCTCTCTCTCTCTCTCTCTCTCTCTCTCTCTCTCTCTCTCTCTCTCTCTCTCTCTCTCTCTCTCTCTCTCTCTC